CCAGGACACCCAATACGCCAGGAGGGTGACTGTGAGCTGCATTATCATCCATTATCATCCAGACTTTAAGAAGCTCCACCATTTTGCAACGGTGTTACAACTGCACCAACCTGTGAACTTCAGCTCCTATATCATTCCTGTCTGCCTTCCAACCCCTGGCATGGAGCTGCCCCTTGGCACATCTTGTTGGATAACTGGCTGGGGAAAGCTCACCGAGAACAGTGAGTGGCTATGGTGTGGGTGTGGGTGGGAGATGGGGAATGGGATTCTAGCTCATCAAAATCTCTAATTAGCATGGAGGCCAGTGGACCTTGTCCCTCTGTGCGTCATTTCCAGAGAGCTGGACTCTTCTAGTTCCTCTTGTGAAAAATGTGTCCTTCTGAAAGCTTCAAAGTTACTCAAGTTGAAGACACTGAAATTCTGGGGTCCTTTGGTTTTTGTTTTTTTTTTTTTCCCCCTTTATTTTATTTTATTTTTTTTAAAGTTGTAGATTTACAATTTTTTGTGCTTTGGTTTCAATTATACAATGATCAGATACCCATCCCTCCACCAGTGCCCATTTTCCACCACCATGGATAATATCCCTCCCACCCCCATCCCCCCATCCCCCCTGTCTCTGTGGCAGGGCAATCCCCTGTGTTCTCTCTCTCCTTTTGGGTGTTGTGGTCTGCAAAAGAGGCATTGAGTGGCAAACATGTTCAGTCCATAGTCTACTTTCGACATGCATCTCCCCTCCTGGGAGGATCCTCCAAACATCCTTTATTTGGTGCTCCCTTCTCTATCTGAACAGCCCTTTCCTCTAGGATACCCGGCTGGCCTCTAAGTTCTGGGGTCCTTTGGTTTTTGGAGTCAGGAATCTGGATCTCAAAGTTTCTCTGGTTTGGGTGTCCAAATTTAACTGATAAATTAATTGATTTAGGGTTTCTCAAAAATGCTGTTTAGGTGGCCTGAAAACTCCTCTCAGTGATGTATGGCCTACCTGCTCAGTTTGAGGATGCAGTGTTGTTAGGTCCTGCAGGCCACCCCACTGATGCTGGGGAAACCTCTGGGCCACATCTGGTTGTGCTCAAGGGACTGTAAGGCTTTATCTTGACGCTCAGGGAACATGTCATGCCAGAGATATGACTGGCAATGATTTTGTGAGAAGCATGTATTCTCACTTCTGTTATCTTCTAGCCCCTTGGTTCTAATATTTCAATTTGATGTAGATCAGACATGACTTTGTGAAATGAATTTGTCTGAGTGTTTCTCTTTCTACTGTGAAATACCTTGATTTTTCCATGGCCATGGAAGGAACACGTAAAGTAAAGTAAAGGCCCTCCCGTTGTTCAAGATTTGCTCGTGCGGGCCCAGTAACATCTCCATTGGAGACTTTGTTGTTACTGTGTTTGGCATATCAAATACGTCACGGGGAGCTTGCCAGGCTCTGCCGTGCAGATGAGATACTCTCGGTAGCTTGCCGGGCTCTCCGAGAGGGGCGGAGGAATCGAACTCGCGTCGGCCACGTTGGCTGCGTGCAAGGCAAACGCCCTACCACTGTGCTATCCCTCCAGAAGGAACACGTAAAAGTAAGAAAAAAGCTCTTGAAGAACCTCGGGGAAGAACGATCATGGCCTGAAATTATCTCAGCTCCATCACCTAAGTTTTGTTCTTCTCCTAACCTGTGTCTCCTATCTGCCTCTTGGATTTGTTAGGTGAATGGAGATATAGGGTGAATACAGGGCAAAACATTGTGGAGGTTTTTAGTTAAATTAGAAATATAAACATTGAGTATAAACATGAATTTGTTCAGAGAAGTATGTTTATACTTTAGTGAAATGTTGATGGCATACTGATTAGGGAAAAGGAAATATTTATTTGCCTTTTAAAATTTTTTTATTTTTATAAAGTTGTTCACAATAATTTATTACATTAAATATTCCAACACCAATCCCACCTCCATAGACCTTCCCACCACCATTATTTTGAATTTTCCCTTCTTTCTTTCTTTCTTTCTTTCTTTCTTTCTTTCGTCTGTCTGTCTTTTTTTCTTTCTTTCTTACTTTCTTTTTCTTTTTGGGTCACACCCAGCAATGCTCAGGGGGTTGCTCCTGGCTCTGCATTCAGGAATTATTCCTGGCGATGCTCGGTGAACCATATGGGATGCTGGGAATCGAATGTGGGTCAGCCGCGTGAAAGACAAATGCCTTCCAGCCCCGAAGTGCCTTTATTTCTTTATTTCTTTATTTATTTATTTATTTTATTAGTGAATCACCTTAAAGTACAGTTATAGACTTACAAATTTTTGTGCTTGGTTTCAGTTATACAATGATCAAGAACCCATCCCTCCACCAGTGTCCATTTTCCACCACCACGGGTCCCAGTATCCCTCCCATCCCCCCCCCCATCCCACCCTGCCTCTGTAGCAGGGCATTCCCTTTTGTTCTCTCTCTCCTTTTGGGTGCTGTGGTTTGCCAGAGAGGCATTGAGTGGCAATTGTGTTTGGTCTATAGTCTACTTTCAGCATGATTCTCACATCCTGGGAGGATCCTCTTAACACCCTTTATTTGGTGCTCCCTTCTCTATCTGAGCTTTCTTTTCCCCTAGCACGTGCGGCTGGCCTCCAAGTCATGGAGCAAAATTCCTGGTACTAATCTCGGCCACTCTTGGGTGTTAGTCTCCTATTTTGTTACTTTATGTTTCCCAGATGAATGCAATCTTTCTGTGTCTATCCCTCTCTTTCTGACTCATTTTGCTTAAAATGATACTTTTCATGTATTACCACTTGTATGTAAATTTCATGATTCATCTTTTCCAACAGCTACATAGTACTCCATTGTCTAAATGTACCAAAGATTCTTCAACCAGTCATCTGTTCTCGGGCACTCAGGTTTTTTTCAGATTCTGGCTATTGTAAAGCGTGCTGCAATGAACAAACAAGTGCAGATGTCACTTCGACTATACGTTTTTGCCTCTCTGGGACATATTCCCAGGAATGGTACAGCTGGGTCAAATGGGAGCTCAATTTCTAATTTTTTGAGAATCATCCATACTGTTTTCCAAAAGGGTTGAACCAGTCGGCATTCCAACCAGCAGTGAAGGAGAGTTCCTTTCTCACCACATCTGCACCAGCACCGGTTGCTTTTGTTCTTTTGGATGTGGGCCCATCTCTGTAGTGTGAAATGATATCTCATTGTTGTTTTGATCTGCATCTCCCTGATGATTAATGGTGTAGAGCATTTTCTCATGTGCCTTTTAGCAATTCAGTTTTTTTCTTTGAGAAAGTTTTTGTTCCTTTCATTGCCCCATTTTTGATGGGGTTGGATGTTTTCTTCTTGTGGAGTTCAACCAGTATTTTGTATATCCTTGATATCAACCACTTGTCAGATGTGTGTTCGGCGAATATTCTTTCCCATTCTGTAGACTGTCTTTGTATTTTGGTCACTGTTTCTTTTGAGGTGAAGAAGCTTCTTAGTTTAAGATCGTCCCATTTGTCTATCTCTGTTTTCACTTGCTTGGCCAGTGGCGTGACATGTTTGAAGATACCATTAGCTTCTGATCTGCTGCCACCATCCCTCGCTCTACCTTTTCCGAGTCTCTTCCTCCTCCTCACCCTTTGTTTCTTCGATCCCCACACCCAGTTGTGTCTCCATTCTTCCCCCATCACTCTGTGGTCTGTTTCCTTGGCAGCTGTGATCTTGCCCAGGCCGCAAGAGTCCCCAACTCTTCTCGCCAATATAAGGGAGGGCTGTTGGCCCTGTTTCCTGGTCATAGGATTGGCCACTGGCCTTCTCTGCTCTTCTCCTGCTCCCTCCCTGCTAACAGCTGGATCACAAGACCCCAGGACCTGATTTTATCTTCCCCTGGTGAGAATGGTGAGAACCCACAGATCTCATAGTGCCTTTCTGTAAATATTCTCCCAAATCTCAGGTCTTTGGAACTCTTCCCCCATCTATGATGTCTGATATTCTCTTGTAGCCCCTCTGTTGAATTCTCAGTCAGTGCTGTCTTTTCTTCATAGTACTTCAAGACCCGCCCGGCTGCAGATCTACTTCTCCATGGTTGGCTGACCAGTATAATCCCTAACTGCCTTCCTTGCTCCCCACATTGCTTCTGCTTTTCCTACCACACTGGACCCTCCTCTTTGTACCCTCTGCTCCCTTGACTCCAGGATCACAAGGTCATTTTCAGTTTCTTGCTTGGAATCCCAGCTCAGCAAAGCCTTCTGCCGCCAGCCATGAGCAACGCCCCTCCCTTCTAGACAGCTCCCATCTCTTATGAGATTTGATTGCACGTGTCAATCTGAGAGAGGTTTCTGGTCTTCTCTGTATGTGCCTGTGTGCCTTAAAGCTCCAGTACTAGGAATCACACAAAGGTACTCAGGGAGCATTTGTCTGCAGTGTGGTTAGAGGAGCCTCAGAGCTATAGTTCCTGCTCCCCAACTCCCCTGCCTAGATGAGCCTTTCCCTTTGATGCAGTAAGAGGGGTTCTGCCCACACTGGTTTCCCTGAGATTATTTCAGGATGCTTTGTGGTGATGAGCCCCCCACCCCTCAGGCCCCAGCATTATAGAGTTTCTCCACCACACCTAGGTAGGAGCATTTTCCAAAGAGTCTGAACATTTTTGAGAAACCCAGAGGCTGAAGTGACTGAGAGGAAGGATTCTAGGAGGTGCATACTGCTGTAATCAGCTTTCTGAAAAGGTATATAGTGGCTTCAGACACCCAGTGCCTCTCACAGGCTTAGTCTCTCGGCCCTTATTCATTAACCATCACTTCTGATGCTGAGTTAGTACAAGGTCCTCGGCCAGTGGCCAAGTTTAACTGCATGATTGATAGATTTCCATCTGTGACTGTCCCAAGGATCAATTTGGAGCTTCCTAGTGCAGGATGGTAGTTCCGACCCCTGACTCTAGAACTATATCAGGACACTGGCATCAGGATCATCCCAAGGGACCACTGAAAACACCCAAACAGCCGTGCCCAATAACCTGCACTTATAATTAGAATTCTGAGCCCCACCTCAATTGTCCACACTGATTGCCCTCTCTTTTTTTAGGGTGATTCTGGAGGCCTTCTGGTCTTTGACTTCTCCAAGAGTTGGGTTCTTCTGGGGTTGGCCAGTTGGGGCCTGGACTGCCAGCGTCCCATATCCCTCGGTGTCTTCACCAGTGTTGCCCATTTCATCAAGTGGATCGTCCAGATCCAGAGACTTGTGCCTCTTCCTGTTTCCTTGTCTGCTCCTCCTGAGGTCCCATTTCTATATGAATCCTAGCCAGTTTCCAGCTCATCGATATTAACCCTCAGACCTCTACAGCACTGGCTCCTGTTGCTTTTAGTGCTTAAGGCCCTGTGGCAGGACCTGCAGTGACCGAAGAACATTCTGTCCCTGCTCTTTGCCCCAGTCCTCAGCATTCTTACTGGAGCCTCACACTTGCCACCATCTCTGTGGTTCTGTCCATCTGTTATGATCCCAAACCCAAGCCTGGAAAAGCAAAGCAAAACCAAATAAAGGCTCACCTTGCTCTGAAATTGGTGCATGTCCCTTCCTGTGGACTGGTCATCTGAACCCCTGGTCAAGGAAAGAGTTCTGGCAGGAGGGCAGGCCACTGAGGCCACTGGGCACCTGCTGAAAGAGTTGTCTGTGTCCACGTTGGTAGACTCTCCTCTGTGTCGAAGGTGAGCATATCTTCCCAGATGATGATCAATCTCTACCATCCCTCAGAAACAATAGGACAGGCCCATAACGCAAATGATGGAGACATCTCTGGAACCTGGAGGTCTGAGATGCAGGGGCAGCAGGGCTGATCACACCCGAGGCCTCTCCACTTCATGTGTGGGTGCCTCTGTGTGAGTCCGTGTCTCTTCTCATCAGGACACCAGTCCTGTTGGGTTTGGGTATATGTCAGTGATCTCTTTCCTGTTAATCACCCCTTTGAAAGAACTGACCTCCTTGGGTCTGGGAGCTCTTAGAGCTGTTTGGGGACATGTTCAGCATGCATCATTGGGTGCAGCCCTGGAGGCACCCTGGCACTGAATTGCCATTGAATTGGCCAAGAAATGCCAGTGATGAACTTTACATAGGTGTGCATAGATCTATCCCTCAGATGTGGCATATAAAGAGTTGTAATAAGGAAACAATAAATGCCAGAGACAGTAAAAACTAAGGAAGAGTTTAGAGAGTGAAGTTTCCTGGGTGGCAGGGGAAGATGGTCTGGGGGAGAGGGGACTGGAGCCATGGCTGGGGAGGGCAGTGGGCACTCTGGTGCTGGTGTGGTGAAGGGACACTGTGTCCATGGACCCCTACCACTGTAGCAGTGGGCAGTGCTGAAAGGAGGTAAAGGGATACTCATGATACCCTTTCAGTAACAGTATTGCAAACCACACTGCCTAAAAGGGAAGTGAGAGGGGGTGGGGGGGAGACAGACAGACAGACAGACAGACAGACAGGCACTTTTTTGCTGGTGTGTAGGACACTGTGTCCATGGTCCCCTATTACTGTAGCAGTGGGTAGTGGGCAGTGGGTGCTCTGGTGCTGGTATGTAGGACACTGTGTTCATGGACCTCCATCACTGTAGCAGAGGGCGGTGGGCACTCTGGTGCTGGTGTGGTGGAGAGACACTCTGTCCATCACACTCTATCACAGTAGCATTAGAAATCATGGTACCGAATGTTTTAGAAATATAAAGAATCCCTCATGGTGCCCCCAGACCTCCTGAGCGTTCCTTGGGAAGACCCCCCACCAATCCCAAGAGAGATCCTGAAACCAGCCCAATGTCTGAACATGCATACTGAGGGGCGCAAAGGCCATGTGCTGCCAGACACGCCCAGCCCAGCACCACTTTCAGGGGGGTGTCCTGTCCTCCTGCAGGCCCAGCAGCCAACATAGCCTTACAGGGGACAGCCATGTTGGCCGCCTACAAGGTAAACGCCTTACCCACTGTGCTATTGCTCCAGCCCGTTAATAGTGATAAGTGCAGAGAATTAAAATGTTTAACACTGAAGAGTTGTTTTCCTACTGTTTCTCAATAATTAGAGTTGTAACTAGTTTTTCAAACTAGTAGTCTAATTCCCTGAGAATCTCTAAGGTCCTGAGTTTCAAATCTCTTGTCACTGAAAATGAAGAATCGTTCTCAAACACCTACTCTACAGGTACCAGGACCATATTTAAATGGTAAAACACTTAACAATGAAATCAGTACATTAAATCGGCCCCCTTTATTATTATTATATGATTATTTGGTTTTGGGGGTACACCTGGTATACTCACATCTTACTCCTGGATCTCTGAACAGACTCATTCATCACAGTGTGGGGGCTATATGGGGTGCTGGGAATCGAGTGCATGGATTGGCTATGGGCAATGCAGGCGACATATCTGCTGTACTATCCCTCCCTCTTATTTTTTAAAGAGTGATGGCAAATGTTCAAATCTGTCTGGTTACAAAAACATTTAAATTCAATGATGTCAAATCAAAGCATGGTACATTTTATGTGAGTGAAGAATATGATATGCAAATACCCAATGAGCTTTAATTTTTTATTTGGTCCAGGCTAATGCAGCAAGATGTGAGCCTTGTCTATGCCCTCAGGATGGTGTGGGCCTGCAGGTGACTGAGCACATCTTCCTCCAGATGGGAAGGACTCCTCCACTCTCCAGGGAGCACAGTACTCTCAGGGTTCCCCCCTCCCCTGTGATTCCCCTCACCCTTTGTGCTCTCAGGCCTCCCAAGGAGCACAAGTGAGAGGACAGACACTGAGATGTTTCCAAAGAACTGAACTTTATTCACTATTTACACAATGACACAAAGAGGCTGCTCCAGTCAAACCCCCATTCTAGGTACAACCCCTGCCATTCCAGAGCAGGCTTAGCTGAAGATCATGGGGAGAACAAGGCTTCTGGGTGCAGCCAGACCCTGGGAGGTGGTCAGGAGGAGCCCCCCGATATCCTACTGTCTCTTGTGCCCCTTCCCCCTCCGCTGGGCCATGGCAGGCTGGAACTTTCTCTTGGGGGGCAGGGAAGGGCCCTCCAGCTCCACAGTCAAGGCTGAGCCAGTAGACACCGTGGGGTGCCCCCTGGGACAGGAGGTCTTCTTAGCAGTGCGCCGCCTTGGGCCCCCACACAGAGGATGCTTCCTGGTAGGGGCCTTAGACTTGAAGGCCCTTGTGCGAGTAGATGGGAGCTCGGGAGTCCCCTGACCTCCAGGCAGGTGGGGGCCAGTGTCGGGGCCTGTGTCAGGGCCAGGGCTCCTGGGTAAGCCCCAGGGCAGCAGGCTGTAGTGAGAGGTTAGGAGGAAGGACAGGCTGGTCAGGTCCTCTTCCTCCTTACTAGAGCCCTCTGCTGGCCCAGGCGACCCCTGGCTAGGAAGGGCCTCTCCCAGCATGCGGGGAGCCCTGCTGTCCAGAGCAGGTGCGGTGAGGCTGGGACAGGGGGCCGGTCCTGCCTGCAGTGGTGGAGACTCCAGGCTCCCCAGAGAGAGGACAGAGGCTCCAGGTGCCATCCCAGTGGCCTCGGCCCGCCCAGGCCATGAGGCGTGTCCAGAGTCAGTCTCAGATTCAGCGCTGGCCCCTGGCCTGTGACCCCAGGTAGATGTTGGGGTGCAGTAGCCTGCTGCACTCTCAGCTGGACTCGAGTCCTTTAGGGACACCTGGTGTTGGGGACGAGCCTTCATGACCTCCTTGTCCTGCGGGGTCTGCAGACGCTTTTCCACAAGCTGGGGAGAGAAGGAACATTGTGGGCATGTGGGGGTGCAGGGTGGGACAGAGAGTGACCCTGATTCCTCCCGAAACAGAAAAACCAGATCTCTTTCCCACTAAGGGTCCTCACCCCATATTCACGTCCTCCTCTCACCTGAGGACTCAGAGGGAGGCGCCTGGTCATGACATGGGCAGGGAGGCCACCAAGTGACCAAGACCCAGGGCGCTAGGGCGCCCCTCCTGACTCACGACCCACCTGCTGCTCTGAGTGCCCTGGGCCCTGTCCACTGTGTCCCCTGCAGGGTCTCTTTCCCAGGAATCATGTGAAATATGCCTCCTGTTTGTCCTGATTTGCTGCCCACTAACTTACAGGAATCCCTCGCATTACTCCCCTGGGCCCCACATGGACCTCAGAGACCCATCTGCCTCACCTGTGCGGGGGTGAGTCCTTCCTCCTCCTCCAGCTCCTCAGCCAGGGCCGGGAAATCCAGCTGGGACTCTGGGGAGACCAGGTACTCCAGGAAGCTGGGATGAAGGATCGCCTCAGCCTGGGAGAGGGAAGCAGGGGTGAGGGTCCTCGTAGGGAACAGGAGGGAATGAGGAAGCAAACACACCTGTCCCCAGCACAGTGCAGGGGCTTGAACAGCTGCACAAAGTCAAACACAGACCCACACCGGGAGAACTCACACACATACACACACACATACACACACACACACAGATGCAAACACACCCTCACCCACAAAGGCACACCGACTATTCACCTACTCTCACAGAGAAGCACATGTAAACACACATGGATTCATGCAAACACCTGACACAAAGACACACACTCTTCCACCTCTAGGTACATGTACATGTATCTGCACGTGTCTGCACAGAGCCCACACAGTACACACAGAGGTAGACACAGAGATGTTCACACATTGACCAAACCCAAAAATGCACAGAAAGAGCCAATGCTTATACACAGAGAGACACACGTGCACACATGCGCACAAACACAAGCAGAAATATCTAAACACAGGTGTGCATTTACACACAGAGCTCAAAGCAGAGACCGCACATCACTGCCAAGCCCTGGACAGAAGCAGCCCTGCACCCTCCCGACCCCACAGCAGCATGGACGCGGGGTCCCCTCACATCCCTCTCTTCTTCCTTCCTCCTCAGCCTGTGTCCCCAAGAAGGCCAGACCCCAGGCCCACCTTGGTGACAAAGGCCTCCTGGGAGCACAGCTCGTACACATAGCTCAGGAGCCCCGGGTCAGGGCAGGTCCCAGCCTCCTCCTGCTGCTCCTCCCTGTCCACTGCCCGTTGGCCGAGGGGCGCCCTGCAGACTGAGTCGGGGGCCTTTAGCAGCTCGTCCATGATGTCCATGTACTCCTGCACGGCCTCAGGAGGGATCTCCTCGGGGGCCTTGGTCTTGGGGGGCTGCTGAGGTTTGTGTGTCTTGGGGCGGGCTGCCCGGGCCTGGGGTCTGGCCTTCTTGGGGACACAGGCTGAGGAGGAAGGAAGAAGAGAGGGATGTGAGGGGACCCCGCGTCCATGCCCTCAGACACACAGCACTGAGCACAGAGTCGGGGACAGGTCCCAGTGGGCTGGATCAGGGCCCTGGAATCCAGTGACTGTGTGAGGGATGAGGTGGCCCTCAACGGGAGGATTGACCAACTGTGTCCCCAGGGTCTCCGACCCCACTTCAAAGGTGAATCTGACGCCTCAGGCAGCGTGGGGTGTGCTAGGAGAGGGAGAAACCCGTGGACAGGGGGCCGCTGAGCACAGGTCTGGGGATCATCGGGAGAGTGAAGACTCCCTGTCAGGTCAAGACCCACGAGGGCCTTTCCAGGTCCTGTGGCCCTTAGCTGGGAGCAGTGTCCGTACCTGTCTGCTGGTCTGGCGGTGGGCCTGGAGCCCCCTGAGACCCAGGCCTGGGTGGGGCGGGGAGTGGCAGGCCCTGCACCCCATTCGTCCACTGCAGTTTCTGCACCTCCATCTCCTCCTCGGCCTCGAACTCCATGAACCTGGTGTGGGGAACACAGGCCGTGATGAGTCGGGTTGAATGGGATTGAGCAGGATGAGTAAAAGACAGGGGATGCTCATGGCCCAGTCCCCAGGAGGGTAGAGAATTGGGTGGACACGGACCCCAGCACCCCCAGCGATCCCCCACATTGGCCCTGGAGGGTCACAGCAGGTCAGGGACTGTGACCCTCAGACTGTGGTCAGGAGCCCCAGAGTGGGCTTGGGAAAAGTGTCCCGGCTCCGGGAGGAACAAGTTTCTGCAGGGGAAGGGTCTCCCGGGGCTGCCAAGCCCTCCCTTCCCCTCGGCCATCTGAGACCAGCCCCTGAAGCTCGGGCCTGCAGCCACCCTGACCCCCACTCTCTGCTCAGGCCTGACTCACTTGGCCGCCATATCGTAGTAGATCATGCGGTCATAGTTGCTCTTGCCCTGCCATTCCTGCAGGGCCCGGTGCAGGCCTTCCTCCAGGCTCATGGTGGGCTTCAGGCGGGCCAGGGTGCGCAGCACCGGGCTGCAAGAACAGGCTCGGTCAGGCTCTGCGTCTGCCGGGAGCCCCCGCCGCCCCACACCCATGCCTTGACCCCTGATATTGGCCTGATCTCCCCTCCCAGAGTGGACTCTGCCTCCTATACCCCAGTCCAGTGGCCCTGCTGGCATCCACTCTTAGCTCTGGGGATACGTCATGAGACGCCAAGGCCGAGCAGTCATGGCCTGTCTGAATTCTGTCACATCTGTGCTGTGTCTGGTCTTGGGAACGGAATGTCTGTCCTTCAGACCACAGGTCGGGACCAACCCTGATGAGGGGACTGAGGTGAGGCTTAGGGCATGGCTGGTCACTACGGGCCTTTGAGCCAGAACCCCAGGATGGCATTCCTGAGTACAGCCAGTGAGTGGGGCTGTGCTGAAGTGCTGGGCAGTGTGGCCACCGGTCCTACAGGCCATGATGCACTGAAGGTGATTCCTGTATGTGCTATCCCTGGGGACAGGGTCCTCATCCTTCCTCCAGCTCTCCCATGGACCCTACCCTGGGTGTCACCCCAGTCCCCTCCTGGGAAACTCCCATTAGCTCTAGGACCCCCGAGGGACTCACATGAAGAAGCAGGAAAGGGCCTCAGTGTCTGGAGTCTGAGGAAGGTACCTCCGGGCCAGGGCCTTGAAGCGCTGCCAGCGCCGGAAGTTCTCGTAGACGCTGTTGGGGTTTCTGGAGCTTTTAGGCGGTGACTGGCTCCGGGTGGCCGCCGGACCACTGTCCCCACAAACCCACTGGGTCAGTGTCCCACTGCTGGATGGGAGGATGATGGGGGCCACCTGGGCCACTGGCAGTGGAGCCTGTGGACGATGGTCTTCTGTCCCAGCCTGGGTGCCAGTAGTAGCTGGGGTGGGCATAATTGTCTCCGGCCCAGAGGACACCAAGTAGAGTGGTGCAGGATGCCCGGCCACCGCAGTAGGAGCTTCTGCGGCCCCCCAGTTGAGTGGAGCCTGTGTCAGGATGACAGGCTGGTTCTGGGATGACTCCACAAGCCCTGCTTCAGGGCTGACCTGGATGATGACCTTGCAAGGTCCAGGGTTGTGGGGGCCAGGACCGGCAGCTCCTGCCACCACGGGCATCATGGGAAAAGGTGACAGCACCAGAGGGTTGCCGGGAACGCTGGTCGAGGTCACCAGAGGGGGCATCTGGATCGGCTCCCAGGGTGGTGGCTGGGGGGGCCCTGGATTGAGAAAGGGCAAGACCCTGAAGACACCGAGGAGAGGAGGGAGGGGGAATGAGAGGGGGATGGTACAGGGAGCAGCGGTGCCTCATTGGCTCAACCATCTCTAGATCAGGCCCTTTGATGGGAATGAGGCAGCATGCCCTGTCTCAGCCCTGAGTTGCTGACACAGGCCATCCTTCCCCTCCAACTGGGTTATGCTTTGTGGAGATCCTAAGGCCAGGGTCCTTGTGTCCTGGGATGGCCTCTGTGCTGAGCACACTGACCTCTCACACCCTGCCCTCCAGCCTCTTTGGAGCTTCCCAACATGTACCTGGACACACTGGTCTGTCGGCAAGAGACCCTGCAGGGTCAGTCACAGAGACTGGACCAGCCGCACCACAGGTGCTCAGCACCTACAGGGTCCCATGACAACAGAGTCTAAAGGACAGACTGTCTACTCAGGCTGTAGGCTCATCAGGGCCTCCTGCTTCACTAAGAAGGCAAACACCTCTGAAAATGTGTTCTTCCCAAGAAGTACCCAGGACCCAGACAGGAGCACAATACCCACTGCCTAGCCTGTGCACAGTAAACCCACAGTCAACCCTCCACACTGGCGGGTGTTGCCACCCTGTCTCTCGAACACTTAGTCACAGTTTCTACCTCCAACATTCTCTTCCCACGAGAGTGGCCTGGAAAGTGGTCCTGGGCTCCATGAGTTACGCCAGTTCCATCAGGGACAATGGCAAGGATGGAAAAGGTCAGAGATTTCACCAGTCAGACTCTGGGAGGTTTCCAGAGTTCTGGAGCTGGTGGTCATGGTAGATTGAAAATTGGTGACATCTTCTAAATAATCTAAGACTTTATCCCAGTGACAGGATCCTAAACATCAGGCATAAACCAGGTGCCAGGAGAGAGAAAATTGTCTGCAACCATACTTGCACACGAGGAATTCAGGCAGAGACTGGTCCTAGAGACGCCCTAGAGCCTGTGTGCATCACGCTCAAGACAGAGGCCCTGAGGCTCCAACTGCTCTGAGGATGCTATCATTTTGCCTCAGCACATTCCACCTCCCCTCAAGGAACAGACCTTCACAGGCTTTACTCAGGAAAACCCAACAAATCACACCCACAGACATAGAGACACCCCCTCACACACCCCCACACATTCTCTCCCTCCTTTCCTCCCTCTCTCTCTCTCTTTCTCTCTCTCTCTCTCTCTCTCTCTCTCTCTCTCTCTCTGTCTCTCTCACACACACATTCATCTCTACCCCCCTCTAGGGTATGAGGGGGGATGTGATTACCAATCATTCTTCACCTCAGAGCTGAAATGCAGACTGGTCCCCATGAAATGCCAGACCATGGAAGAACAAACTTCACCAAAAGAACAATCCAGAACAACTCAAGAGTCTGAGTCATAACTACGCTGAAGTCACCTGTCTCCCAGTCTGCTGACCCAGGACAGCTACTGGGCTCAGCCAGGAGAGAGTTCCCATCTGCAGGGGGGTCAGGCTCTGACTGTGGCAGTTAGCCACTTGTAGCCCAGCTCTGGAGTGGACGCATCATGGCAGAAGTGCACACAGACAACCTCACTCAACAAGGTTCAGGCTGGACCATCTCTGCTGAGCTGCCCACATCAGGTTGAGCTCAGCCCAAGTCCAAATCCTTCTAAACTTATTCTAGAGCACAGGAGGGGACAAGGACTCAGCATGCCTCGGTGTTCCCTGTGCCACCACCAAACAGACCCTCCATACACACGACAAATGGCCTTGTTCCCCCATCCACAAGCAGGGACACTCACACACAAAGCAACAATATGCCTGCTACCTCCCTCTGTCCATACCCATGACCTTCCCCCTGTCATTTGACACACCTCCACGGATGCCCTCCCAGTCCCCTCAGGTCCTCCTGGGCTCCCATTGCTGTGCAGGTGAGCTATCTATGGAGCCCAGGCCTTTCTCCTCTTTTACCCCTTCAAAACTTGGTGTCCCCAGTCAGGATAACTCTGAACCCAAAGGCTTTCAAGGTGGCAGAGACTTTCTCACATACACAGACACCCTCACAGGCTTACCTCCTTCTGACGCCATCCCCGTAGACGAGGCCAGAGGCCACTACAGCTTATCAGCCTTCACAATGGCAAAAGGCAGGACCTGTATCAGACAGTGAACTGCTCACGCAGATGCTCAGGATCCGAGTGGGTGAGGGAGAGGTTTGGATTCAAACCTCAGAATGTTGGGCCAAGACATTCTGCAGTGGGGGAGGGGAGGGCCAGGAGGGCCTGGCTGGGGAAACATTCCATGAAGGGCTCTGATTGGTGGGCCAGAACCAGATCTTTCCTTCAAACTGGTCAGTGGCAGCGCTGCTCACATGGCCTCTTCTAGCAACTTAGACAAAGTTTCCCCATTCTCAGCACACAGGTTGGCTTGGTCTTTGCTGGATCTCAATACTTTATCCACCAGTCTAGTTGTGTGCCCCTCAAATCTCTCTCCTTCCTCTCTCCCTGTTGACCTCCTTCAACAGAGGCTACTCTTTCTTTGAAAAATTCAGTCATTAGTGATTTGTGAACCCAATGGAGGTCACAATTTGAGAGGAGTTTTCCCCAGCAAAAGCAGTGGGTTTTGCTTTATTGTTTGTTTGTTTCCTGATCATTCATTAGGGTCCAGTCCCTAGGACTGAAAGGAATGTAGATTTGTCTAGCATGTTTGACTAACATTTTCAAAGTTTCTTTCTACTGGAAGCTCTTACCCTTCCTGGAATAGCCATGAAGCCTCAAGTTGAGACAATGACCAGACTCAAACTTACTTTTTTGCATTTGCTATCCATTTTATGGATGATCTGCCTCCTAAATATAATGTTGAATTGAGGAATATCTTTCATTGTTCAAAGCTAAGTTTTGCCAAAGGCTCAATGATGTGTGTTTAATGCAGTGCTGGGTGTTCCCTTCAACTTTCTCTGATTAGTACAATGCTCTCTCCCACACAGAACTGGTATTCTGTTGTTAACATATTTCTAGACATGCACTATGTGCTGAAACCCAAAAAGGATCCCATTTTTATGAACTCATAATTGTTTACCTCTCTGGTTAAAAGTACATGTATGTTCTACCCTCTGGCATGTGCAGTGATTTCTTTATATTGTTTAAACGGCTTCTCTCTCCTTTAGGAGACTCCATCCCCACAGCACAAACTTCTGCCATTCCTAACTGAATCCTTACACTGCCTGGCAATTCAGTGGCTGATGGAATAGGGAGGTCTGAATTAGGAAGTGGAGAAGAATGGATGTGCAACTGACTTTAATATTCAGATCCTCAACAAAGTTACCTTCTACATAATTTTTTCCATGGTTGGGAAACCCTGAATTCAGATTTCCTCTACACTCTTTTCTCCAGTGTTTATAAGAAAGAGAGTTTTCAGTCTAATTTTGGAACAATTTATAAGATCTTCCCAAACTCTCAGTCTGAAAGGTTTTGGGATTATGCATTTAAATCCAACATTCATTGCACTGTTTGGTCGCTATGGAGGGAATGACCTGCTCCGTCCATAGCCGTCAGATCATTCCATTCTCTGCAGCACCGAGGCTGCCTTTGCAGACACCGATCTCTGGACGGTTCCCAGCAGCTGCTCTGTGCACTCTACATTGGTTCAGTAGGGATATCCAAGTCATAAGAATTCTATCAACATCAAGAACATCCTTCCCCAAACGATGTTGGACACAGGAAACACAGGAAAGTCGAGACATTTCTTGGGACTTCCACTTCGGTCACGAAGAACCTAGACTTGATTTTCAGCCAAGGATTCCTCATGAGATGGATTTTGAGATTGAACTTTGTCCTCGGGCATCAATCAAGGCTTTATGTTTGCTTCCTTGCTGTGTCCTGAAAAGCCACCAATAATTATGGAGACGCTTGCGCGTGATTGGCGGACGTTACCACCCACTGTGGCCAGTAGGTGCACGCGCGTCGGGGCTGTCCTGGGTCAGTTCTAAGCAGTTAGAGGTAACGGACACGCACGCGCACCTGCATCTCTCGCGGGGTCTGCAGCCGCCAACGTCCTACAGGCTATGGGTGTAATGAATCCCCAAAAGGGAATCATTACACCTTTTGTAATGATGCCCCAAAAGGGAATCATTACACCTTTGGGATATTCGCACCCATGCCTGTGTCGGGCTCAACAGATTGGTGTGTGGCCCTGTCCAGCTCTCTGCGGTGGCGCGTCTCCCCCAGGCTGTGGGCACTGCCGCACACCTGCGCCAGGTCGTTTCTGGATCCGGATGCTGAGCGCCAGGGAGGTAAAGGCGTCCTGGGACAAATCTAACTGCTGCTTGGGGCCAGAGCGATAGTGCAGCGGGGTAGGGTGATTGCCTTGCACGTGGCCAACCTGGGTTCCATCATAGTCATTCCTGATGGTACCCTGAGTACCGCCAGAGTAATTCCTGAGTGCGAAGGAATTACTGAGCATAGCTAGTGTGCCTGAAAACCAAAACAAAACAAACCTCTGCTGCCTTGTGAGCCAGTTTGGAGTGATGCAAAAGCCAGCCGAAAGTTGTTCCTAATTTGAAATCCTTATTCCTAGAGCAAGAAGTGTCTCAGGTCACAGCAGTACATGGGGAAAATGTACTAGTGCTAACACATCTCCTCAGAGCTTCACTTTTCTTTTCCTAAAAGAATTAGAAACCAAGATCTGTGTTTCAGCACTTTTCAGTAAATGAAACAGTTTTGTTGACTAAGAGTAATGAAATCTTCATTACCTGAATGCCCAATTATGGTGCAGTTGGTACCTAAGTTGGCAGGAGGTGTAAGAGTTAAGCAAACATAAAAATATTTGGTCTGGGGACCGGAGTGATTGAACAGCAGGTAGGGTGTTGCCTCGAGTGCTGCTGTCTCAGGTTCAATCCCTGGCATCCCACACGGTCCCTCAAGCACTGCCAGGAGTGATTCCTGAATGCAGAGCCAGGAGTAACCCCTGAGCATCACTGGGTGTGATCCAAA